AGGCGATCCTACTGTCACTGACTTGCAGGCATCAAAGTACACTCCATACTTTACAATTCAGTACAAGCTGAACTTTGATGATGGATGGCAGGCGCTGCAAGGACCAAGAAAGCTGAACACCCAATGTACGACGGTTACTGCTGGACCTCTCTGCAAAGACAGATTGAAGATAACTGCCAAACAGTATAAACACCTACAGGAGTTGAAGGCCGTCGTACCACGATGCTACCACAATTACCATGGAACTTTGCCTCAGTAAGAAGTTTTGAAAGCCATCAAGTCAAATTCGATTATTGTTGAGTCTTTCAAAACAATGGTAACTTTTGTCGTACTGCCTTGTTGTAGCCACAGGACACAGAGTGAGACAGGCATGCTCTTCTATTGTTGAGAATACGCAATAAAGTAGTAGTTGTCAAGCCACGCACCTTGAAGAAAGTTGGCGCATTCTTTGATACTTACAAATTCTTTTTGCATAATAATAACAATAATAATATATTATTATGAAGCCAACTTCACTCAAACCATTGCTGAGTGAGCAGAGCTTCTGTGTGGCTTTCTGCTTTCTTTTCTTTCTTAGTATTACTTTTTTCCAGGCATTTGAAAGGCCGCCCAGAGCCAATAGTACCGTGTCAGACACTGTCATAAATTCTAAAGGCCTGCTGCTGCTGCTGCTGCTGCTGCTGCTGCTGCTGCTGCTGCTGCTGCTGCTGCTGCTGCTGCTGCTGCTGCTGCTGCTGCTGCTGCTGCTGCTGCTGCTGCTGCTACTGTTGTTTTTGTTCTTGTTGTAGTTGTTGTTTTTGTTGTTATTGCTGTAGCTGCTCTCCCTTACCCTACCAACCTCCTGTTCTTCTACTTCAAATGTAATTAATATACCTATTGCTGAATTCTGCTTCTTCTTCTTCTATTAAATGTTCCAATTTGTGACTGCTGTTTTTGCCAGAATTGACTCCGTAGCACTGAAATAACAGCAGCTAATAGTATGTTGGTAGCAGTAATATCGTTCTCCTCCTCTTCCTTCTTACTCCTCCTCCTCCTTTCTCCTTATCCTCCTCCTCCTTTCCCTCCTCCTCCTTCTCCTCCTTTCCCTCATCCTACCCATCCCTTCTCCTTATCCTCATCCCTTCTCCTTATCCTCTTATCTTCTCCTTATCCTCCTCCTCCTTTCCCTCCTCCTCCTTTCTCCTTATCCTCCCCCTCCTTTCCCTCCTCATCCTTCTCCTCCTCCTCCTTTCCCTCCTCCTCCTTCTCCTTCTCCTCCTCCTCCTCCTCCTCCTTTGCCTCCTCCTCCTTTCCCTCATCCTCCCCCTCCCTTCTCCTTATCCTCCTCCCTTCTCCTTCTCCCTTCTCCTTCTCCTAATCCTCCTCTTCCTCCCCCTTCCCTCCTCCTCCTCCTCCTTTCCCTCCTCCTCCCTTCTCCTCCTCCTCCCCCTTCCCTCTTCCTTATCCTCCTCCTCCTTATCCTTCTCCTTCTTCTTCTTCTTCTACAAAAGATCACGACGATTGAAGAACTGATCAAATACGTTACAATCAAGGGTGGTTTGGCTGCACTCAACGAAACTCGAGGCCAGCAGTGGCTTCCTGATAAAACCGGCCAACCCACAAAATTGAGGGTTGGTCGGTTTTATCGGGGAAAATTTGAGCGACATAACCGTCTAACCCACGCAGTTTCGTTAAAAGCGATTTTTAAAGGAAAAAAAGGTCTACAGTTTTTCGGTAAAGTGTTTTTATAGGTGTTTAAAGCATTGATTTATCGCTAGACGCCTTTGTTTAGAAATAAAACAGTTTTTTCCTTCTCCTGTAAAATTTACCTCGCTGGGGTTAGCCGGTTTTATCACAAGGCCGACGATATATTATATTGTCTGTATTATAGGCCACTACCAGTAGAGCGTTTGTGCTAGAAACGTGTGTTTTTTACGTCCCCATGGACACATTTAGGTCATTTAAGGGGTGGGCTTCTGACTCTTCCTGTCAGGGCCAAACTGGGTTGAGACGAATAATAATATACGAGGGTCGTTCAAAAAGTCCTCTTCAATAACTTCTAAACTATTCTAGATATCTTCATGAAATCTGTACACAATTGACTTTCAATATGTATACTCTCAAACGCAAAAAACAGAATTATAGTATGATGTCACACCTTTATGCTATTGCTGTTAACATCTAGCCGAATACGCCTCCTTCTGGCTGTGAACGCAATCGCCCTGTCTTCGTTCATCGTGTTTTCTACTTTGGCCGGAATTTCCCAACACTTTTTCTTCTCTCCCTCTCTCTTTCTCTCTTTCTCTCTCTCTCTCTCTCTCTCTCTCTCTCTC